ACACACACACACACACACACACACACACACACACACACACACACACAGGTCTGATGTCTGTTATCACAACCTGCTGGTTCTTCTAGCTCTGTGGGAGATGGTCTCTAACTACAACTGAGAGTACTAACACCACAGTCTTTCTATCATATTCTCTGTCATCTCCTTTCTCACTCTCATTCTCTTCACCCCCACTTTCCAGATGTGCGCATATGACCAGGAGAACTTCCAGGGCCGCTGCATTGAGATCACCGGCGAGTGCATGAATGTGTGTGACATGGGAATGGATAGGGTGCGCTCCCTGCGTGTCGACTGTGGACCGTAAGTAGCCCGAGCACGCACCGTCACATGTGCACGCCCTCCCACATATGCACGTATAATGTACCCGTCACCCACACTCGTCTGAGTAAAGAGTGGGTAATTTCACTGCGGTACCTCACCATTATGCAACATTTCACACTTTGCATTTTAGACATTTATCTGATGCTTTTATGCTGAGTGATGTGCAGAGAGTGCAACAGTATAATGAACTCCAGTACCCAAGCTACTGACGTAACAAAGCCACAAACAGTGACTGCGATGAGAGATAAAACATAGGACATGGGGAAAACTTTTTTTCGAGGTAAAAGCTATAAGAAAGTCAATCAAAGCAGAGATCCAGTAATCTAAACATATTTGATTTGCAACTACATAAAATTGGGCTTCAAGGGACTGAAATATCCAGATTTTACTCTGAGTCTGTATTAAACAAAAAACAACGGATCCTATATTTGATGACATCACAATTATTTTTTTTTACTTTTAAAAACTCTTCTGTCCAAACCACTGAACTTGCTATACAACTGTTTACAGAGGCTGTGTTTTACTCATGCGTAAACTCAAGTGTACTGCTCCTCCAAGATGTCTCCTTTAAAAAGACAAGACAATGATCTCTTCCCCTTCCTCCTCCTCCCCCTTTTGCCATCTTCCCTCTCAGCTTCGTGGGGTTTGAGCAGATGAACTTCTGTGGTGAGATGTTCATCCTGGAGAAGGGTGAGTACCCCCGCTGGGACTCCTGGAGCAACTGCCAGAAGAACGACTACCTGCTGTCCTTCAGACCAGTCCGCATGGTAAACCCCTGCACTTCGCAAAAGATTTATTTATATTTCCCAGGCTCTCTCCCTTGTACTCTTTTTAACTGTCCCTCCTTTCCCTTCCACCTTGCAGGATCCTGAGAAGCATAAGATCTGCCTGCATGAGGTCGGAGAGTTCAAGGGTCGTAAGATGGAGATCATGGATGATGATGTCCCCAGCCTGTTTGCCTACGGTTTCACCGACAGAGTGGGCAGCATCATGGTCAGCTGTGGAACGTGAGTATTGAGGCAACTTGTTACAGCCATTATCTTGCCTGAACCCTAACAGAGAGCTAGAACTGAAAACCCAGATGTCCTTGACTGAGGTCACAAATGACACAAACGTTTTGCGATTGGTTGAGGCTGTGGCGTTGCCGGCTACAAGTTAAAGTGAAGCCACGCTGCGGATAATTCATATGCGTGGCCGTGTCATTACATTAATGATCAGTCGAAGGCTGTGTGACTGATTGATTACACTTGGTACAATTGGTCGGCTGGCTGAGTATGGGAGCTTTCATTTTGGCCGTTGGTTTCTGTTTCTGTTGCATCATCGGGGGAGTAAACAGGCACAGTTGCCAACCTCTCACACCAGCGGAAACTGCAACAACTTTTTGGACAAAGCTTATTTACTTTCTATAGAGGGGAGTCACAAGTACTGCTGGGTGAGTTTGAAACACACCTCCCTCTTCATCTAGAGTGGCAGAGAGAGAGGCAGTGCAGCAATTTGTTTTCCAGGTGGATGCTGTGAAAAAGATATTGTGTCACTTCTAACTTTTTCTCTGATTATTTTACATGTAGATATAACCAAAACTCACAGCACTTTAGTTGTCTTTAAGTTTTGTGTCTGAGTTTGTCAGACAACATTAGACAACTATAAAATAAAGGTTTTAGCAGAGCAGCAGCTTGGAAATTACTGCTGGTTAACATATAGAGTTAATGTGTTTCAGTCACAGATTCATACTTTTTGACAACAGACACAGAAAAACATGTAAATGAGACCTGCCTGATCTAAAATGACTGTATATGTGAACACGATGAGGAGGAGAGAAGCAGACGGATAATGGGTTTAAACCGGCTGACATTAGGCAGAATATAAATCTGACACAATGATTTCATGAATATGCTTATACAACAACATTGTTCAACTTTGAGCTTAATTTTGCATATTGACCACACACATATCCAGACATATATAACTGTAGGTTTTAATCTGTTCAAAAATAATAGTCCTGCATTTACAGACTAATTCAAAAAATGTCTGTCTGTGTCTGTGGAATGCATATCTCGCAAACCATACATCTTATAATCACACTTTGTATGTGTACTGTAAATAACCAGAGGAAGTGCAGTGCTGAGTTTGGTAACACATGATATATTCAGTAATAAAAAGTTAATGAACAGGCGACCAGCACGGGTGGAGCAAGGGGCCTTCAGTCTGTGAATTGAATTGAATACCTCTACGTCCTCAGATAAACAACAACAGTCATTGGCAACTGGTAGCCTGCGACTCAAAAAATCTGTAGTGCTTTATATTGAGCTGAATTGCAGAGCTTTTATTTTGAAAAGTTGTGAACTTTGATCTGTAGATTGTGTTGATTGCTTTACAGACCTCTGACATATCCCACACATGAACAGTAATGAAGCAAATTCCATCATTCCATTCCATTTCAATTCATGAAAGCAAATAAACCAGATAGGATGAACACAAACCTTTCTTACTTCACCCTGCACTATAGATTGTTTAGCTCTGCACACAAAAAGTGACAGTATGATGTAGAACAGCAGCTCTGGAGCATTAACACAGGACAGAGAATAAGCAGGTTTGCAACAGACACTGCACTAATTTATGGAAAAACACAATTTCCTTCTTTGCTCACATTTTGATGAACAGTCTGACACATTTTATTGTTTCCAAAAACCACTTAAAAAACAAAGAAGACCTGCCTATGTTTGTTTTAGTGGCTGCCGACTGAGCAGAAACTTAGCTCTGAAACATTGCATCCTACTTCTGCAACAACGCTGTCTAAAAAAAGCCTAACCCCATTAAATCCAGCGTGTGTCAGACAGTTTCCACATCCGGATGACATCATTCTCAAACTGAGACAGCAGCATAATCCCCAACTATCTGAAGGCTCTAAGTGTTTGTCTGGTAGCAAGCTCAGGAACAGAGGCTTTTTCATCAGCAGCAAGCCGAGGGTGTGATGAGCGTCAGCATCTCCGTGCAGCCAGGGGTGTGGCAGGCAGCAGACAGACTCTTATCGGCTGTGATTATTTCATTTGTAGCACTCCCTGTTCCTGAAACAAACAGCTGGGAGGCAGACTGACCTGTGGTTTGATGCTTCGACAAACAGATCGATGTCTTAACTTGTTAGATGTGTGTTCTCCCTGATTGGTCTGTCTCTCCCATTTTACTTGTTTGTTACTCATCTTTCTTTCCTGTGATCTGTTTCCTTTCCTGTCTTCTCTTAATCTCTCCCTCACAGCTGGGTGGGTTACCAGTTTCCAGGCTACCGCGGCAGCCAGTACCTGCTGGAGAAGGGCGATTACAGGCATTTCAACGAGTTTGGCGCCCGCTCCCCCCAGATGCAGTCCATCAGGCGCATCCGGGACATGCAGTGGCACCCACACGGCTGCTACACCATTTCCTCCAAATGAAACCCAGCGAGGGCGAGGAAGAGAGGGATCGGAGGAGGGAAGAAGGCAGAGGGTGGGCAAAGAGATGGAGGGGAAGCAGTGGGGAAGGCGAAGAGGGAGAAGAGGGAGAGGGTGTAATTGTTCCCTCCTCTGTCCCAAAAATACTCTTGGTGGTTTTAAGTGCATGATGGAGGGAAAACAGCAGGTTGTTATTTCTAGTTGTTGGAGCATTGAAATCCAGTGAACAATGAAACCTTATTCAAAATGTAGCAGGGGAAGAAGGAGATAATCATACCGATAATAAATGCCTGTCCATTTTTGTTCTCCCTCTCTCACCATCTCTGTTTGTCAGTTCCTCTCTCTCCTCCCCTCCCTCCTCTCTCCCCCTCACACACGTCTCTCCTGTATCTCACCGACGTCAGCTCCTCACTTGATAGAGGCCGACAGGGGTGGTGGTGGGGGAGACCAGGGGTTGAGGTGGGGGTACCAGTGTGGATGTTGTGTGTTTATGTGGGTGGATCCGTGACAGAAGGAAGCCACAGCAAGAGCATGGAGGCAATTTCTCTGAGGCTTGCTCAGAGCCTGAAGCCACATCAACCCTGATCCCCAATAAAGCATCTCACATCCTGCTCCGCTTGAAATGATGTCTTATTTAACATATGGTTTTGACATATAACTACCAGAGGTCTGAAGATGGGCACCAACACATTAATGGCCCACTGTTCTTCAGAACTCCACTGGATCACAAGAGGTCTCATACGACTCATTGAAGAGTTTCCTGAGTTCCCCTAAACTGGCAGGAAATATAGAAATATGAAATAAACTGTAAAATCACTTTAATGACGGTACATGTCAGTGGTGAAGGTTTGGGTAAGTTTAGTTTCTGAAACTAAAGGGGGTTCAAATAAGTACTTTGCTAAGGTGAGAGGTATTTTTCATTTTTTGGGATTTTCATGCTCTCTGATTGACTCTCACTTTGAGTCACAGCATGTCCACACTAATATGTTGTAGCTTTAAAACGCATATATCCACGCTCATGTTGCAAAGTAGGAGAAGAAAATATGTTTCTGACTTCATTGAAAAGTTAATTCTCAGTTTTACCTGGAGTTTTTTATGCCCCGTTGACTAAACAGGAGACTAAGCAAAGATGGAGGAGAAGTTGCACAATGGAACCTGCACATACATTATTCTGCACAGTGAAGCTCAAACACCCAGGAAACAACAAGCAAAATCCTTTTTGAGAGCAGGATTAAAAAGAAAGAGTAGAAACAAATGATCAGAATTTCAATCACGAGACACTTTGTTTGAAAAAATGAACAACATTCATTGCCGTGGATCTTGATGTGATATAATGAGAGACTATTTGGAGCTTAGACCCCTTGTGATGTCATCAACGGTGACATGCATAGGCACTAGACACTGGTGATGGGATCTAGAAAATGTTGAGGATGAGATGAGATGACTGGGCTCAGAGTTGGGCTTGACCAGGGCTCTGGATGTGTTGACTGGAGATGACTGAGGAGGGGGAGGGTCGCAGCAAATCACTGAACTGACAGCTGACAGCAGCAGCAACAACATGATTGATTGATTGAGATGACAGCAAAATCTTACTGGATTATCAAAACACCCAACAACTGATTAAAGGAGGTAATATATTCAAATGATTCTAATTCTAATCATCTAGATCTGGACATAATAGATATAGGAGTGAGACCTCCATTACTACAAAACTCTGTAAAATGCTGGATTTCACTTCTGTCCTCTTCTTTTCTGAGACTCAAAATGCTCTGTTGTGAATATAAAATGTGTTTTTTTTATGTGCAAACACCTTGGAGAATCGACCGACTCGCTGGATGTCATTGTTAGAGCTCATCTGAAGGTAATTTGTGATTTCTATCCTCCAGTCCACACACACACAGTGTAATCACTCAATATGATGCGTACAGAGACACAGATTTGATTTATACTGATGGAAAACACTTTGGGACAACATTGTTGTTTGCCCAAAGCGTCGAAGCTCTCTGCATCAACCCAAACACTGAGCTCCGAAACTTTCCTGGAATCAATGGTTTGATTCATTATTTATCCTCCTCACCAAACTGACTATTGATGCTTGACGTCAGCACCAAAATTGTTTTGTTCACAGAAAACATTTCTTTCTGTGAAAACTGATAATTTATGCATCTTGTACGTCTTCCACTGAGACTCATCAACTATTCAGAAATTCTTTATCATTTATACTGTAATCTGCACTTTGTCTTTGTGCAAATCCATTTTTAGCACAGTGATGATCAGACTTTCATAGAACACAGCTTTTAAATAGCTGAGAGTGCTTCAAACCATGCAAATATAATGAGGCAAGTTTCAGTAAACTGCATTAGAGCATAATTCAGTCACTGCCAGCCCAGAAATGATGGATACATAAATACGTAACACTCACTATGTTCTCTCTGACCTCCTGTCCTACCACTGCTTTCAATTTAAATGCAACAAAAGATTATTTTTGCCATTGATGACGAGAGGACTGCCTTCAGAAAATGTCTGAAGCAACACAATAACATATTTATCCCCACTATTACCAAAATATCCACTAGCCGATGTATCTGATCTCACACAAGATCCACCTACACCATCATTATTATGTTTATTAGTTATGTTTTGGCTCTCACAGCACTTATAGGCAAAGATTCTGTTCTGATTTAATACAGAAAATGTTAATTGTGACTTCAGACTACTAAGTTTATTTACATTTGACCAAAACTACCCTCTTTCCCATAACCTTAACTTAAATACTTTTGTTGCCAAAACCTAATCTGAGAGAGTGCAAAGACATTCGGCATGTTTGATAGCATGGAAGACAGTGACGCAAAATACACTCAAACACAACATAAACACAATTTAACACAACCCACCAAGCAAACGCCCAGCGAACAAAGACCTTTGGGTTGTGGTTGATTGGTGTGGTTTTGGTACAAGGGTCAAAGGTCACGGTCACTACTGTACTGCAGAAGAAGACATTCAAGTTGCTTGGTCCTAGATAAAACCATAAAGATTTCTTGGTCCAACTATGATCCATTGGCTGGATCTTCTCCATGGCAACAACTGATGGGGCTTAAACTGTAGTTATTATTACTGTAACATGATGGAGGGACTGGCGTGGGACAAATGCAGCTCTTCCCTCTCTGCTGCTCTCCTGTGACAGCTCACTGATCAGCACGTTTGTGTTATTCAGATATGAGAACAAGGTGAAATGCGCAGCTCTCACATGAATGAATAATACTTGACAGATACAGAGGATACAGCTGTACCACACAGTCATCACCAAATTAACATGTGGGTGGGGGGAGAGAAACAGAAATAAAAAACTCAATAGGAAGAGGAGTGGTCTTCCAGCTGAAGGAAAAAGTCATACATCTGGGACACATGGAGGCGAGTTCCGTTAATGTTATTGCTATTATTTGTGTTTCCATCACTGATTAAGGGCTACAATTAAAGCTGCACAATAAATGTCTCATCCTGCAATCATATTTAACAGTTATTATTTTTCCCCTCCATCCAAAAATACTTCTGCATCAGCTTGTGAAACATCAGTAAAACCCAAGTCTATCAGAACAAATTCCCATGCAGTCCCAATCCCGAAATAAACCACCTTAGTGCAGCTCAGCCCCCAAACCAGAGGGAACTGCACACTTCACCTGTCACACAAGCACCCTGTTCACTTCAGTCTATAAATAAGAGAAGATAAGACACCTACAAGGGGCTGTGAGCACTATGCAGCTAAATGTGGATTGGAGGAGTATTGACGTCACCCTGGTATACACACACACACGCACATTAGCAAATACGCACAAGTTAATGTAACACATTCACACATATGGATGTGCATACGTGAGTAGACCCAAGTGCAAGCTGACAAACACACGTGCACACACACACGTTTGTACTCTTATCTTAGTGAGGACTCATTGTCATAAAGCATTCCCTAGCCCTAACTCAAACCTAACTCCAACTCTAACTCTAAAACCAAGTCTTGACCGGCCAAACAGTCCATTTAAGGTGGGTCAGAAAGTGAGGACCGGCCAAACTGTCCTCACTCCGTAGGTTGTAGGCAAGAGCGCACACACACACACACATAGAGAGAGAGAGAGAGAGAGAGAGAAGACACAGGGCTTTACATTGACTTACATTTGTTTCCTGGAGACATACTCCAACCTGAACCATTACTAATACTTGCCTAGCATTTACCTTAACCCTTACCTAAACCTAAACCTAGTAATAGGAGTAAATAAATAACATACTCTATAAGTCCCCACTACACAAGTAACATCCACACACACACACACACACACATGCAGCTACTACTATTTCCAGCCTTGCCTCTGATGTCACTCTGTGGATTGGGACTGTTTCAACAGCAGGGCATTATGGGATAGCTTATGAGAGCTTAATGACTCCTTGTGGTAGAATACTGCTAAATAATGGGTAGAGAAAGAAAGGGAGAGAGAGAGAGAGAGAGAGAGAGAAGAGGGAAGACTGCATATCGACCCGTTCTTCTTCATCTTCTCACATCCATCACTTCCCTTTCCATCTGGCGAATTAGCAGCTCTGACCACCTGATACACTGCTCAGTCACATGCTGCTAATGGAGACATACTGTATCACGTTTATCAGAAGCTGATAAAAGGGTTCAGTTCTTTGCAAAACATGGATTCCCTGTCACATTTGTTCTCTCTGGTACAGAGCTTGTTCCCATCTTGTTGCAGTCCTTTATTCAAATACGTTGCCTTAACACTCTCACACACTTTATTACAGGAGAAAATCAACATATTTTATTCTCAGCGGACATTGTTATTTTAAAATCAAATATAAGATTTTGTGGATTAGTAATGCAGAAATGTACATTTACGTTCCAAAAGCAAAATGAATAATTTAAATAATAAATCATTTTTATGGAGCCCATCATTTCACAGCGATTCAAATATACTTTTATCCATTTTACAATTTTTGGTATTAGGAGGGCATAGAAGAAAAACATTTCTGAAATTGCGAGAATAAAGTCATAATATTACGAAGAAAAAGCTCATAATTTTACGCTACGCGTTATTTTAGAAAAGTAGCCTGCACCTGTGTCAAAATGACATGTGTTGGGAATCCTGAAACTATACTTCAGTATGTTTCATAAATAAAAAAATGCTAAATCTTTTGGGACATCAGTGCCACATTGTAATCAGTATCAGTACTTCAATAAGATTTGGCATGAAAGTAGGTTTATTCAGAAAAACGACTCCCACAGACTTTAGGGAATTTCCTCATTTGTGGAGGAGGAATTGGCTGTTTTTCTTCTCTCTTTTAAATAGAATTTTTATATTATTAC